ACCTAAAGACATCGGGGAATCTTGTGTTGACAAAAGTAACGCGTGATGAACAATGATGAAGTAACGTTGCGATCTAATCTTGGCAGAGGCGAGCTTTTATAATTGCAAACTCCCCGTCATCGTCCGCAACAATTCACCGGGGCAGATAATGATTTTCTACCGGCAAACGGTTACAAATTCACGCGGCTGATGAGAGTTCTCGGAGGAGCATCGTCTGAAGGTTACTTAGGCCCGTTCCCATATTACATTATAGTTAATTGACACCTAACCGATTCTCGGGGAATTATAATTGAGGCACAGTTGGGGTTAACCGTGTTGTTGATGCCGCGTTAAACCGCGGTGAGAATCCCATCTTTATCGGTAAATCCGCGCCGGCGCCGGCGCCGCCGCCGCCGCCGCCGCCGCCGCCGCAGCCGCATCCACCGCGATGAATGCTCAGGAATGTCTCGTTTTCAAGGTGGAGTAATCGCGTGCGGAGGCGCTCGCGGGGCAAAACGGTAAGCGCGCGCGCGCGCGAGCGAGCGCGAGTAATCGGGAATCGGAACGCAGAACGTGCGTTCGTGCGTGGGATCGCCGGATAATACGCGGCGATTTCACGCCGATGCTATCACAACATTTTTACGACGCGATACAGTAACGCGTTACGGTATCGCGCTCGCGCTACCGATAATTATCGTTAACGTTATTTTGCGTAATGCTCGCTCCTGTACGCATTCTTCGAGAGAGGGAGGAAGAGAAAGAGAAAGAGAGAGAGAGAGAGAGAGAGAGAGGGGAGGGAGAAGGGGAGCAGAACGAGAGGGAACGAGAGGAGGGAGAGGTGGTTCATTAAAACCGTTTAAGTCGTACGCCGGTACGAGTTTATAATTTGCGCGACGATTACGATCTTTTGACGCTTAACGAGGAAACGTTCGCTCGAAGAATCTCACTTAATTCTACAGCGGCGACGTCCGAAAGTTCCCGTTTATTTAGTACGCCAGGGAGGAAAAAAAACACGGAAGATCTCCACGAAAGACTCGTCGCCTTCGTCCGTCCGCCGGTCGCTGAATATTTGGCGTTTCGAGGCGTTCCTTGGTCGGCTCGCCAGCGGGGATTCCCGAGATGCTAAAACGGCGAAGCGGCGACGGCTCGGTCTCGACATCCGGCCGAAATCGAACGCTTTCCCGCGCGCGCGTGCTTTTAGCCCGCGCGCGTACACACGTACGCGATTAGTCATCGACGCGGTACACTTTTATCGTTAAGTATGGCCGGCGATGAGTACTTTGCACCGCGCTCGGATCTCGCTGGTTGTCGCATCTTTTTTCTCATTCCTCCGCTACCGTACGTATATCCGGTGTCGCGAATTGACGCGAGCGAAACGAAAAGTGTAACAGGGTGCGCGCGTGTCGTCCGCCGTTTGTTGCGTACACCGGTGAGCGGATTAATCCCGCTTCGTGCGCCCCCTAATGAGTGAGAATAATTGCCGTTGCGATATCCATCGCGACACAATCACGGTACGCGCGGATACGCGCGTTCCAATAATATTGGCCCTTGGATATTTCAGATAAATGTCCTCGCAGAGAGATCGAGCGCGTCTTCGTGTTGATGAAATATCTCCTCGGCCTGAGCATGACCTGAGCGGACAATTATACGCTGTCGGAAGAATCGCATGATTACGCCGGTAACCTACGCCGGCCGGCGTAATGCCGAGGAAACATCGGTGAAATTTCACGAGGTGGAATGTCTCTCTCTCTCTCTCTCTCTCTCTCTCTCTCGCGCGCGCGCGCGCGCGCGCGCTGGAGCTCGACACGGCGTCGAAGAATAGCCCCGCGTAGACGCGCGCACAGTCGCGATCGATGCGCCAAAAGGGCCGAAAATCTCATTGGCAGTTGACTCGCGGGACAATTCGATCGAAAGCAACAATCCCAAGCGAAGGCGAAGCGACCGGTACGCGTGAGAGTGGGACTGCACTCGAACAAAGCGAACATTTCTGGAGGCCCGTCGAGTCGCCAGATGCGCTTCCTACCTTTGTTCGTTTTTCCATCGATCGCGCGCGCGCGCGAGCTCGCTCGCGGCAACGATCGAGATGCTATCGGAGCAAAATGGGTTGGCCAATCGCGATGCTCGCTCGCGAGTGGAGAGACGACGCTCGTACTTCACTCATATTCGGTGAGTGACCCGCGACCGCTGGTCTCAACGACCAGCAGCACCAAACATTTGTATGCCTACTGCCCGGCCTGAAAATATCGTCCCCGAAGTGCACGCGGGGACCCTGACCCTTCTCAACGACAATATTCGACGTCTGCGTCACGCTTTCGCATCGAACTTTTACCGTGCCGCTGCAAAACCGCCGCCTGCATTCGCAACTCCACGCACCACGCACGCACGCACGCGGGGACGCGTGAGCCCACACGCGCGTGCACGCGAATCGCCGACTCGTCCTCGGTGCGTTTCTTCGCCGCTGCGCGTTTCGGCCCGAGCATTTCACGATGGCGACGCGACGCGCCGCGCCGCGCCGTCGCGTCGTACGCCGTGTACGCGAGATCGAAAATCATATGGCGTATAAATGACGCCGGTGAAACGCTCCTGCGTAGTGACCGCAGCGAAATACCCTCTATATCGGGACTCTATCGGGACGACAAAACAGCCGTTTTATTAAATATTTCACGGAACAAGTAATGAAGTGTACACGCGTAGCACTTTCAATAATCGGCGTAAAATAAAAACAAAAAAAAAATGGTGCGCGCGACGTGCCGCGTTTTTCCTTTTTTAATGTCGGATATTTCGAGAATTGCGAGTAAACGCGGAATAATTCCGGAAAAAATTTTCGTCCAACGCATTCCTATCAATTCCCGTCAATTTGGCTAATCCGTTTGTTCTCTCTTTTTGCGGAGGGAGGGAGACTGAGTGAGAGTGAGAGAGAGAGAGAGAGAGAGAGGGAGAGAGAGAGAGAGAGAGAGAGAGAGAGAGACAACGATAAAAATTCGCTCCCGTCGCGACGCGTCGCGTCGGATGGATCGCGTGATGCATCGCGAAGGGTTAATCGGCACACCGTCTAAAAGGCGACGCACCTGCTGTTTCCACGTACATTGTATATTGATCCAGATCGCGGCGCGATTATGGCGGTTCGATCGGCGGCACAGCAATCGCACAACGACGATCGATCTCGTCGCGATGTCTCGTCGAGCGGGGAAGCTTGTAATTTGGGCAATGTAACGTCCACGTAACGTCAGTGACAAAAGGAAGCGCGCGTCTCGAGCGGCGCGGCGACGCGGTCGGAGCAGGAAGAGACGACGAACGTGGAGGTATCACTCGGCGGGGCTGATACCCGTGAACGCGCGTTTCGTGCCGCGCTCGCACACATGCACGCGCACGCACACGCGCACACGCGTACGCATACGCGCGTATGTACGCGCCTATGCTGAATTATGCAGCCTGCATATTTTCCGGTCTGTTTGGTGGGTCTCAAAGCCTAACCGGTAACCCGGCAGCCTGCGCGCTCGCACACATACACACGCAACGACGCATACACACACACACACACACACACACACACATACACACCGGATGACTCGTCTGCAGAAGCTTCGCAGAACGCGCGAAAATTTTTCAATTTCACAGCAGGCTGCGCCCGCAAGAGAGCTCGCTGTGAAAAGAGAACCACCCTCGCGCGGAGACGATTCCAAACTGAAAATAGAATAATGACGGCGTCGGGAAGAGAGACGCCGGGATGATTCGCGAGAATTCTTCGCGACAGACCGCGGCGATCTCGTTGTCTCGGGCTATTTTACTGAGACTCATGCATGCCGATATACGTGAACGGGACATTCCGCCGCGCGTCCTCGTCGCGAATGCTAAGTAACCGAGAGAGACCGTTTAATTGGCTTAATTATGCGGCGACTTATCGGCTATTTGTTCGCCGCGTGTGGCTCTAGCCGTTGTCGAGAGAGTCGCGCGAACAAGAAATAACGTATGTAAAGCTGCAATTGCCGACTCCGAGCCGACAGATGCGCGATGTTAATCGCGCGAAATGCCGCCGTTATGTAGGACTGCGCGCGTAAGTCGCAGTCTGATAATTGATCGTTCGTTAGCCGGGGAGGGGGGGATTTTCTTTCGGGTAAAGCACCGTCCGCGCGCGCGCGTCGGCAGGTAAGAGCTATTAGCACGCGATGTGCACCGGCAGCGGCGAGCTGCCTTATCGTTTATTGCCGATTGTAATTCAATTTGCCGCAAATGACCGTGATTTGACAGTGGCGAGGTGTCGTCGCGTTTTATCGTAACGCACGTAACGCGTCGGTTGATCGATCGACAATGATTTAATGCCGGCGAGCCGACACCGTTGTCGGATCCGGCCGCGATGCGTAATTTCCTCGTGGCCGGTTTATAAATCCTGATTAATTATTTGTCAGTGAATTTAGTAGATACACGAGTACTTTGAAAATTCAATAATTCGGCGCGGTTTATAGCCCATTATTCTCTGCGAAATTAATATCTACCGTCCGGCCGATTATTTCGACGTTGAAAGCACTGTTGTTTTGATTAATCTAAACACTGCCGGAAAAAGGGACATCTATCACGAACATCGGAAATCCACGCGCGACAAGAGAGAGAGAGAGAGAGAGAGAGAGAGAACAGCGGGATGGGAGGAGAGTAAGTACAATGTACGTATGTAGAGCGTTGCAAATTTTGTTACGATTCCGGCGGTCGCCGTCGGTCGTACACAAATACCGAGCGTGTTTCATTTTTCCTATTCTTTGTCTATTGTCAAACAGCCACTACCAAAAAAATTGCCATTCCATTCCGCAAAAGAGGCAGGGAAAAAGAGAGAGAGAGAGAGAGGGGGGGGGAGAGAGAGAGAGAGAGAGAGCGAAAAAGAGAAAGAGAGAGTAAAGACAGTGCAGTGAGAAGCTGGTGTCTTACTTCGCGGAAATCCACAAACTATTCAGAGTCTTGTTGACATGCTTCTCAAAAGCTCCAAAGTTACGTGTAGATTAGATAAATAATTGCTCTCGTTACAATTAAAGGAAATCCACACGGATAAACTCAGATGACAGGTTATGCAGAGTCACAGATTGTCCCACAAAAGATCCGTCAACACGTCATGATACATTACATTACATGATTGCGCGTTATGGAGAAAGAGACCGTGAAACTTTCAAATCGACCGATGCAAAACTGACGAATCACCACACAACTGCTACAACGTACCGCGATAAGAGTTTAATTAAGATATTATTCTAGACTCAAAATAACTAAGATCCTTGAAGAGAGTGCGTCGTCGTAGCGTTATGGAGATAGAAGCCACGAAATGTTGAAATCGATCGATGCAGACCACATCAGCTCAAATGTGTAAGCTATCGAAATATTTATAAGTACTTAATTTTAATAATATCTAGCAATATATAATCTATTTTCTCGCAGAGTAATCTCGCATAAACATGGTTTGCTCCATCGCGTAGCTGAGTTACGTACTAACTACGATAGTGAAAAAGAAGACGTGAACCAAGCGCCGCGTGGTCCAAGCGGCAGACGTGTTGTGCCTTTTAGCTTCAGCTACCATGTAGTATAAGCGGGCAGAAATTCCTGACCCAGATCATACAGCGATAAGGGATCTTTGGAGCGCGCGGTTCGATGCTACCGTCGCGTCTTCGTTTTTAGAAATCGTAGAAACTTCAGAGAGAACTCATTGGAAAGCTGAGGATCTTAGCGAAGCTGAGAGCAAAGCCTAGCCGTCTTTTCGGCGGCCACATTGAGGATTTATTATTATGGTGAAATGCGATGGGAATATAACACGACGTTACGCTGCTGATTCATTACAATTGTGTCTAAAAATGTTCTTAAATACGACTTCTAAATATAACTTTCTCAAATATAACTTTCTGAGGAAAAATTGCAGGGAGATTTTCATAATTGTGTGAAATATTAATTAAAATTATCGTCGCGCCCTAAGCGGTGCCGTAATTCGGCAAATAGAATAATTGCAATCCGTAAAATTTGAAAAATTAGAAATACACAGGCAACGTGTTGTTGGACGAGTCGAGCCGTAGCGTGGTTTCTCAGTTTGTTCTGACCTGTTTTTCCTGCTTTTGTTGTATATTTGTTTAACTTGTCGGGAATTCTGGAACTATTAGAGAGGAAATCGAAATTCTCAATAGTTTGTGAGTTTCCACAAAGTGAGACGCCAAGTTCATGCACGCACGCGCACACACACACACACACACACACACACTCCGAGAGACCACTAAGCACCGGTCGAGCCGGTGAATAGAAACGCGTGACTTGCATCTCCGCGACAGGTTGCGTGGCTCTTTTTTGCGTTTCGTAATTTTACAGGGAAGCAGTCAAATTGCGGGATGCCGTTAAAGTCCGTTCGCGCCAACTCCGGCCGAACGCACACGCGCGCACATAATCGTGCAATGAATCCACATAATAAGCGACAACAGCACTCGTACATTTCCTATCACGCGATCGATTTGTTCTCTCGCATCTCGGGTCTCTCTCGGTGTCTCTCTCTCTCTCTCTCTCGGCGGCGCGAGCTATGCTCATTTGTTCACCGTTATCGATCATTCGCCGAGTGCCAGCGCGAACTCGGACCCCCCTCGCGCAGGGACTTCGGCGGGGAATTCTACAAACGTTTGCGTTTTCGGTAGACCGTGGACGCGCCCGTCTGCATTCTTAACGCAGTTTCCGAAAGGCAAGTAATTCCCGTATCTAACTTTGAGAAATGATAGCGGCTGCCGCGAGCGTCACCATGTTCCGTAAGTGTACGTGACAAAAGTCGCGATGCACTTAGCCGTCGTTCCTCGGCCTGGCGAATCCCCCGCGGAAGAGCCGAACGCCGAGAGTGCTAACAGTCCTACGCGCGACCCACCTTGGTTACTTCGTTACTCGAACGGACTGCTATCCGTAGCGAGCACCGACGACGGAACGTGCGCGCTTATTTGTCCGGCCTCTCTATAGAGCGTCCTGCTGATAATTACAGCTTCTCGCTTATCGATAATACGCGGCGCCGTGCTCATCCGAGCATCCATTTCTTCGCAACGGACTCGCGCGCGTCTCTCTCTCTCTCTCTCTCTCTCTCTCTCTCTCTCTCTCTCTCTCTGCCGCTCCCTGCCGCGAAGGGTTTCACGAAATCAGCTCAACTTGACGACACGCCACGGACACTGGACTATATAATTAATATTTCGCATCTCGCGCGCGTTGCACGGGGCTCTCGAACGGCCGATTTACGAGCCTGCGGTACAACCACTTGACATTACGCGACTTCCAACGAACGCGCACCTTTCATCTGCCAATAATGATCGTCCTCGCCGCTCCCCTCCCCCTCCCCCCCCTCCCCCGAGACACGGCCTTCGTGTTCTCACGGACCTTTTACTCTTTATCGAGGCAATCCGCCGTTTTTTCCCTCATTTCGTTTTTTTTTCGAGACGCTACTGATGCGAGCCATCGCAGCGACGAGTGCAGAGCGCAGCAGCGGATCAATCTCGCTGCAAACATCTTACGCGCGGAAAGACGAACAACTAATTTTGCGCAATCTCGCTCGCACTCATTCGAAGCTTCACCGGCGCGGCGGCACGAGACGCGCAAGTCTCTGAAAATAATCGACACGTACACGACATTAGTACACGCGCATCTCGAGCGTGACATAGAATCTTGTTTTCACACACGTCAGGCAAAAGTGAAGATTTCGTAGCGCGCAGACGAAGACGACGGCAATCGATGTTTTATTCACTGAATCACGACGCGAGATCAAACGGAATCGAATTTACGATTCCGCCGTCTCAACTTGACGACGACGACGACGACGACGACCACTTGACATTACGTGACTTCTCACGCGACACACAACGCGCGCTCACCTTTTATCTGCCGACGACAATAATCATCGTAACCACTTTCCGCGGATCCCCAAGTGGCAGCAGCCTCGATCCTAGCGCGAGACTCGCGCGTTGCCGAGACGGGCACGTCGATCGGAGCTTTAGCCACCTGCGATAACTTGTTTTTCTACCGGTGAATCGGTAAACGCGACATGTAAAGGGGAGCGAGTAAAGTGGCCTTTATGACAAACAATTGTGACGCGGGAAGCCGACGACGCGGCAAAGGAATCGAGCGAGTCAAGTATATTGCGGACTCGAGCATTTAGCCGGCGCTCCAAGTCCGCCGAGAGAAGTCCCTCACCCCCCCCTGTCCGTCCTCTCTCTCTCTCTCTCTCTCTCTCTCTCTCTCTCTCTCTCTGCACGGCGTAACTCGCGACGATTGCGGGGGAGGGATTACGAGCGGGAGACCGACGGCGCGACGACGACGGTGGTGTTTTCGCCGCCGTTGTCACTTCGCACAGCCGGCTAAGATCGAGATCGTCGCGATAATTAGACCTGCGCGCATGACCGCGCGGTAGGAAACAAATATCAAAACGTGCAACAGGTGGCTTCGCCAAATAACGTTTATCACTTTTGGCGGTCAGGGAAATGCGAAAAAAAGCATACGGAGATAGCCGAACTCGACTGATACTACAAATTTAAAACACTTGGCGCCGCCGAGAGACCTACCATACATGCAAACACCGGAGTGCGGGAGAGAAATTTTATTGTTACTCGCTTTTATTTTTTTATTATTCATACACCGCTACAGAGCTGGTCGTTCGATACAACTCGTTCCCGCGAAATTGCTCGTAGAGGGACGCTTCGCCGGGATGCACATCGACATTCGCGCGTCCGTCTCTCGTCGATTAGCTCTCTCTCGCATCCTTCCGAGGCCTTTCGCAGCCCCCTCTCGTCGTCGCCGACCTCGACCGGCGCGCGGCGCGCGGCGCCGCTCGTTTCGCCGACTCTTGCACATTTTTAGAAATTCAGGTTGCGTTAAATTGCCGGGCACGAATTGCGCTGGCCGCGTGTCGCGCTCTGATTCGACGGCGGTTACGTGTGTGCGGCACGCGAGCCCCGATATCGTCTAGCACGCATATGCCGCGCGGCGCGGCGATACGTCGAAAGATGGCAAACATGATGAGAGTGAGAGAGAGAGAGGGAGAGAGAGAATCGCGCTGGCGATTCCACGTCGATAGGTTCGATTTTCATTCACGAGTAGAGGCCCGATAATCACCGCGCACCGCGGAGATCGATCGACGCGCTATCTCGCTTAGAAAGTCCGTCTGCGATCGCTCGACTCTGGCGAGTTTCGGGACAGTCAAGAGCGAATTTTGGAAAAATACCGTGGATACCGCGTGCGCGCGCGAGCGAGAATTGCGCCATCGAGCGAGTTTGCGAATGCGCGTTAAAATCTCGCTGTCGGTCTGAAAATTGAAATCGAACGCGACTACCGCGGCGGGGAGAAATGGTCATTGTACCGCGGGTAAGTAATTTGCAATCATCGTAATGACGCAGTGCATCGCACGGTGTACGAATCGAACAGCTCGCGCGCCGCGGTCGTCTTGATAATTCAGATTCCCGCGAAATTCCCAGAAGCGGCGCGCGAGCGAAACGAGAAAACGAAACGTACGGCCTAAAATGATGCGGAATGGCGCTATTACGGGAGATAATTCCTCGATACCACTTAAGTTCTTCGAAACGCTGTTTGCGGAGAGAGGAAAAAAGAAAAACTCCATCCACTTCTCGAGTACTAGGGCCACTTTGTGATTACCGTCGTGACAAATTACAGAAACGGGGGGGGAGAGGCACAGCCGTGCGCGCACCCGCGCACTGCAATATAACGCGATATACAAATTACCCAACTTTGTACCTCGCCGTTGTAAATCGAGGGGGCATGAAGTTACGCGGCGACGGCGGCGAGTCCGGCGTATACGTTACTTGATTACGAGGGCGATTACAAAGTTGCTCCTTCGAATGCCCCTTTCGTTTTTCTCCACGGTAGTGGTCGGTGGTCGGTAGTCGTAGTCGTAGTCGTAGCGGTAGTGGCGGCAAGGTCGTCAGAAATTCGATAATAAGCGCGGCGCAGCGATTGCAGTATACCGGAGCGAGCCCGTCGCGCCGCGTCGTAGCAAGATCGAATGCAAAAATTCCGGGATTTGATCCATCTCCGAATGTGTAACAATGATGAATGATATAAAATGTACAAATGATGCCGAAGTATACGCAAGGGGACGTGTAACGTCACTGTAGGGACGGTATATCTCTACCACCAGCCTTGCGATTGTTAATAAATCCGGCGTAAATTTCGGAGGTAGATCGATGGTTCAACGTTCATAAATTACGGGGCCATACATCATGCGAAAATAAT